ACTTTCAGTCTGTGTGTGTCCCTAGGTCTGAAGGGGGTCTCTTGTAGACAGCATATTACGGGTCTTGTTTTTGTATCCATTCAGCCAGTCTTTGTCTTTTGGTGGGAGCATTTAATCCATTTATGTTTAAGGTAATTATCGATATGTATGTTCGTTCCTGTTACCATTTTCTCAATTGTTTTGGGTTTGTCTTTGTAGGTGTTTTCCTTCTCTTGTGTTTCCTGCCTAGAGAAGTTTCTTTAGCATTTGTTCTAAAGCTGGTTTGGTGGTGCTGAATTCTGTTAACATTTGTTTATCTGTAAAGGTTTTAATTTCTCCATCGAATCTGAATGAGATCCTTGTTGGGTAGAGTAATCTTGGTTGTAGGTTTTTCCCTTTCATCACTTTAAATATGTTCTGCCACTCCCTTCTGGCTTGCAGAGTTTCTGCTGAAAGATCAGCTGTTACCCTTATGGGGATTCCCTTGTGTGTTATTTGTTGTTTTTCCCTTGCTGCTTTTAATATGTTTTCTTTGTATTTAATTTTTGACAGTTTGATTAATATGTGTCTTGGCATGTTTCTCTTTGGGTTTATCATATATGGTGCTCTCTGTGCTTCCTGGACTTGATTGACTATTTCCTTTCCCATGTTAGGGAACTTTTTGACTATAATCTCTTCAAATATTTTCTCAGACCCTTTCTTTTTCTCTTCTTCTTCTGGGACCCTTATAATTTGAATGTTGGTTCGTTTAATGTTGTTCCAGAGGTCTCTGAGACTGTCCTCAATTCTTTTCATTCTTTTTTCTTTATGCTGCTCCCTGGCCGTTATTGCCACCATTTTATCTTCCAGCTCACTTATCCATTCTTCTGTCTCAGTTATTCTGCTATTCATTCCTTCTAGAGTATTTTTAATTTCAGCATTTGTATTGTTCATCATTGTTTGTTTGCTTTTTAGTTCTTCTAGATCCTTGTTGAATGTTTCTTGTATTTTCTCCATTCTATTTCCAAGGTTTTGGAACATCTTTTCTATCCTTACTCTGAATTATTTTTCAGTTAGGTTGCCTATTTCATCTTCGTTTATTTGTTCTTTTAGGTTTTTACCTTGCTCCTTCGTCTGTAATATATTTTTCTGTCATTTCATTTTTTTTTTTGATGGTTGGTGCTGTATTCCTGTGTTACTGGTTGTTTGGCCTGAGACGTCCAGCACTGGAGTTTGCAGAAAGTTGGGTAGAGCTGGGTCTTGTTGCTGAGATGCGTTCCTCTGGGAGTCCTCACTCCAATTAATATTCCCTAGGGTCCTAGGTTCTCTTTTAGTCCAGCGGTTTGGACTCGGAGCTCCCACCACAGGAGCTTGGGCCCAACCTCCAGCCTGAGACCCAAGATCCCGCAAGCTTTGTGGAATGGTAAAGAAAAAAAAAAAAGGTAAAAGAGAAAGAAAGAAAAAAGCAGTACAATATCAAAGAATAAAAAATAAAGTAAAATTAGAAAGATAAAAAATATATTAGGAAAAATAAAACTATCATTGAAACAAGTGCAACAAGGTAAAATAAAACCTCAACAGAAGGAAGAAAAAAAAAAGCGGGGGGAACAAGCCAAATGGGGAGAACAATTACAGAGTATAAAGAATAAAATAAAATTAGAAAAATAAAAGATTTATTAGGAACAATAAAAACATAAAAGAATCAACAACAATGAATCAGCAAGGTAAAACAGAACCCCAATCTAAAAGAAGAAAAAAGAAAAAGAAAAAAAAAAACCTTGGCTATGGGGGCGAATTTTAGGTGGGGGCTGGAACTTAGGCAGGGGCAGGGTTTAGGGTGGGGCAGGACCCAGGCAGTTGGTGTTATGTTTGATCATGGGGTGGGGCCTAGGCTCAGGACCCATGTAGCTGGAAAAGGCCTTGATGGGGGGCCACGTTCAAGTGTGGGACAGGGCCTCTTCTTAAGACCTGGGTGGAAGGGGAGAGGCAGCACATGGAAGGGGGGGGCCTCTGGAGTGTGGGGTTCCAGAGTTTGGAGGTAGGGTCCTGAGTGAGGGTGTGTGGGTGGGGTTTAGGCCCAGCGCATTGGAGGGGGTCTCTGAGTATAGGGGTGGGGCCCTGGGTGAGGGTGTAGGGGCGGGGCTTGGATTCTGCATGACAGGAGGGAGGCTCCGAGGGCAGAGGATTAGGCCTGAGCCCAACAGGCTCCCTGGTGCCTAAGTGGACAGGGAAGGCACTGGCCGCATTCCCTTCCATTCCTTCGTGCTCCTCCCCCACCATCTCCCCCAGGGTGTCCCCCGTCACCGCTGGACCCCTAACCGCGGGTGGGTCCCGCTGGGTGTAGGAACTCCCCTCCCCCAGCCACCCCTCAGGGGTGCCAGTCCTGGAGGTCCAGCCTTTACTTTTGCTCCCCCTTCCTCCCTCTCACTCCCTCAGGACCCGCATGGCTGGAGGGGGCCTCGGTGGGCAGAGGATGAGGCCTGGGGTCTCAGCAGGTTCCTGGGCACCCAAGTGGGCAGGAGAAACCTGTCCACACTCCCTTTTGATCCTCTGCCCTCCCAATGGTCCCCCAATTTACCCCTTCCGGCATGGGATCCCTTCCCCTCCCCCAGCCGCCCCTTAGGGGCACCAGTCCCATCCTGCCTCCACTTCTCCCCCTTCACTCCTCCCATGCCCCATGTCCTACCCTGTCGCTGGGGGTTCGTCCAGTCCCCTTAGGTTTCCATGGTCCCTCACCAGTGCCTGGTAGGTGCCCTAGTTGTGAGGAGAGATGAATTCCAGGTCCTCATAGTACGCCATCTTGACTCCACCCTTGAAATGTATTTTTATTATTCAGTTCAAAATACTTTCTAATTTCCATTGTGTTCTTTTTTTCATTCACAGATTATTTAGAAGTTTATTGCTTAACTTCCAAATACATTTGGTTTTGCATATCTTTTTATTTTTCATTTGTTTATGACTATTAGAGCGCTTTATATCTTAAAAAAACTTTATGGGAAATGTCAAACATATACAAAAGTGGAAAAAAATAGTTTAATAACCACTCAGGTATCCATAAGCTTCAACTATTTTTAACTCTGGACCAAATTCGTTTCATTTCTGTTCTCTCATTATGCAACCCTCACCAGATTATTTTGAAGCGAATCTCAGATATCATATTTTTTCTATAAATATTTCAGTATGTACCTATACAAGATGACATTAAAAAATTAATTACAATACCATATCCTAGCCAGAATAATTCCTTAATGTCATAAAATATCTGGTCAGTTTCCAAAAGTTTTCCATTGTCTCCTAATTTTTCTTTACAGTTTGATTATTTTGAAAACAGGATCCAAATTAAGTTCCAAATATTGTTATTGGTTGATATGTACAAGTCTTTTTAATCTAAATATTCCCTCAGCATGTCTCTTTTTCAACCCTTGCTGTTTATTTTAGAAGCAACGGGGTGTTTTGTAGTTTCCCATAATTTGAATTTTGCTAATTGCACTTGATGATGTTGTTTAATGTGTTCCTCTATCCCTGTATTTCCTATTTCCTGTAAGATATAGAGGCTTGATCAGATTCAGATATGATGTTTTTTGTTTTGTCTTGTTTAATTGGTCAAGGTGATGGTGGTGTGAGATTTCATCAATAATCATAGTGATGTCTGGTTATTTCTCTTCTTGATGATGATTACCTAGGTTCATGAATTCATGAAGGAGTTGAAAAATGCTGATATTCTGTTGTTCCTTCTTCATTTATTACTTGGGATACTAGTATAAAGAGAAATTTCCCCTCAACTTCCATTTGGATATTCTCAGTTATGGTTCATATAGAAGAGACAGATAAATACTTGATTTTTTCTCCTCATTTACTAGTTTTCAAAATAAGTTGGTTCTTTAGCATTTTTCGGTGATCATCAATGAGGTATTTAAAAAGTTACCGTTATGAACTAATGTGTTTCAACTCAGTTACATTTATTATCTTTGTTAATGCTTGCACTATCCCATCTTTGGCCAATGGACCCTACTCAGATTGTCTCCTGAGTCCTTTTGATATAACCCTTAATTTTGTATCCTTTCTTGTTTTCTTGTGTGCATGATGTTCCAGACTTATCTTGTACAATTCCTGCCCTTTTTCCAAAGGCCTTCCTTTTTTTTTCTTTCTTTCTTTTTTTTGGCTGTGCTGTGTGGCTTGCATTATCTTAGTTCCCTGACCAGGAATTGAACCCACGCCCTTGGCAGTGAAAGCATGGAGTTCTAACCATTGGACCACCAGGGGATTCCCCTTACTTTGTTTTAATAAAAAATGGTATTTAGAGGCAGCAGTATGTGTAGTAGGTGTGCTCATTGCTACTAGTTTGGTCATTGTTTTTAGACCTTTTCAGTGGTCAGATGTAGGAAATATATGTACAGTTTTAAAAAATGAAATACATCATTAGTTTATATTATACTTTATTCAGATTCAGAGCTACAGGGTTTTTGCTTAACCTCATTAATCTTACAGTTGTATCTCCTTTCTTACATACTTAAAAACCTAGTTTTCAATGGCACCAAGAAAACTACTCATTTGATTTATCTTCACACACACACACACACACACACACACACACACACACACACACACACACACACACACACACACACACCGGCTTAGAATAACATACCTGCCCCTGCCTAGGTATTAAGCTTTGAAATTCAACTTTTACCCCCTAAGTCTACAAGCTGTTGAAGGTGCTGCTTGCCTTCTCAGCTCTTTCTTTTGGAATTGATGAATGTCTCACAAGAAAAGTGGTTGCAAAAGCCAGACTCATCTCTCTAGATTTACCTCCTTTTAAAGATATTAGACTGGTAGATCTTCACTATATTCTTTGCCCTCTGATACCTTCGAGTAATGTTTTAAAATATTTTGTGCATCTTTTCTAGTTGTCTTCAGTAAGATGTTGGTCTGAATTATCTAATCTGCCAATATTGGAAAAGAAAGTCCCCTTACCACTTAAATGTTGAAAATTTAATTTATATTTATATGATGTGACGACAATATTTGGTTTTATTTCAAAGGTTCTGAAACAAAAACACCTGGATGATTGTCTACGACATGTATCTGTAAGAAGATTTGAATCATTTAATCTGTTCTCAGTAACAGAAGCCCAAAAAAGGGAAACTGAAGAGGAAGTTGGTGCCTGGGTTCAATACACAAGCATCTTGTATCCTGAATACAGTATTTTCTTAAGGTAAACATCACTCTAGTTAAGATTTTTTTTTAAGTTTTTTTCTCTTGTAGAAGAAAACAATCTAAGAATCTCATTGTTCATTCTATTGAGTTTGCAGGCAATCTTTATCAGAACTTAGGTTTTGCAACTTTGTGTTTAGAATCCTGCTGCTTTAACTGGGTCTTACTGTATTCTCAGAACTAGAAAAAAAAACATTCTAAGGAATGTATCGGCATTTGAGGATAAAGTTCAAATCAAAGGGTTCATTTAACCATTGTCTCATAGCATTTGATTATGAAAAAAAGCCAAGTTCTTTTTGAGGCAAAGAAGGCTGAAAGTGAAAACAGGATTTTTCCAAACTGCTCTTCAAGTAGTAGTTATTTGAAAAATCAAGCTTTGGTATTTTTCCCATTCATGTTTTGTCACTTTCAGAATAGAATCTTAGGAATAGGAGGAGAAAATTCACCCAAAACACTGATATCGTGAGAAGCATACAGACTGTTCTGGTTTTAAAAATCATTAGAAAAGAGATAAGAGAGTTGCAAACTGAAGTAACAAGATATCATTTTTACTGAATTAATTTTCTCTCACAGTTGCAGTCTAGCATGTTGCAATATTACTGCAGGTATTTGATTTTATAAAATCTGCCTTTCTTGACAAGATTTCACATTTTGAAAGGGAGGGAGGAGCACATTTACAGTAACTGTAAGAAGAGCAAAAAACATTTTAAGTGGCAACGTGTCTGAATACAGTTTAGGTGAGGTCAGGAATAATTTTAAGAAAAAAAGTTTTCCCAAAGGATGTCTATTTATAGTATATGTTTCCTGAACTATTTTAGTTTAAAATATCTCAGCTCTAAAAGATACCATACTAGCTTAAAATTTGGGATTTGGATAAAAATTGACTAGAGTGGGCAGGGGAATGCAATTAGGATCTGGTTTCATATTGATTTATTAAAAACTCTAAATAGAAGGTAAAAACTTAAGGATTTGTGAGCTCGCCTGTACATTCATTATGAGATTGAAATTAGAATACCTCAACTGCCTGGCATTCTGATGGAGATAATTAGTTTAGTCCTTGATTAGGAAGGAAAGAAAAATGCATTAAATGCTTACTGTTTGCCTAGTACAGTACTACGTGCTGTGATGTGTTCTAATTCATGTACTCCTTACAATAACTCTGTGAAGTAGGAATGAAGATGATTAAACAATTGGAAGATAGAATCTATAAGGATATTAAAGAGAAAGAGAAACAGAGTAATACCCCTACTGGTAGGGGTCTTCAGGTATAAAGTTCTAAAACTTATCTTCTACGTCCACGGTGACAAGAGGCAGTAAGTGTAAACTGTACCAAGAATAACTTCCTGACATCTTCAAGGCCCTGGTAAGGCTTAGCCAGAGAGAATGTGAAATCTTCTGTTCTTGAGAGCTTTCAAAATAAGGCATGGTTCTCCACTTGGTGGAGATGGTGTTGATGTAGCAGCAAGACACCTCTCCAACAGTGTGGTTCTTTGTGATGTATCCATTTTTGAAAGAATAAATATATCTATATAAATATGATATTAAATTCTAGTTTATAGAAAGAAGACAGGTGACTGAGCTAGAATTTAGGCCTCATTGGCTGCCAAGATTTTTTCTCTTTTTTTCAAACTAGCTAATATCTCTCCATATCAATAGCGCAAAAATAACAATAGCTTACACATACAGAATTCTAGAGCTGAATTCTGATCTTAGAATAAAAAAATAATCCTAACAACATTAATAATGACTGACAATTGAGTGCCTACTATGTGACAAGCACTGTTGTGAATGGTTTACATGTATAAGCTTATTTGATTCACATAGCACCTCCTGAGGTAAATACTGTTTTTATCCTCATTTTACAGATGAGAAAATAACTCGATTGAGGGCACACAGCCAATAATTGGTTGTGCCCCTATTTAAACTCTGGTGGTCTGGTTTCATGCCTGTATAATACTTATAAAAACTTTTGTTTTGAAATAATTACAGGCTCTCAAAAAGTTGCAAAAATAGTACAAGGAGTTCCATGTACCCATCACCCAGCTGTCTCCATCAGTAACATCTTATATAATGATAGTCACAGCCTGCACTTTTAACTTCTACACATCCTGCCACTCGTGCGGCAGTCATATATACATTTATTCACTTTTCAGATGAAGGGATTGAGGCCTAGATAAACTAATTTCCTCGTTGATTATTCTGAGCATTCCATTTCTTACTCCATAATCCTGATACCGTATAGGAAATCACTGATATTACTGTAATTGCTTAGGAAGGGCAGGATTTCTGCCAGGAATGGTTCATTCCATTCCATTGCCAATTTTGTTCATGTTGATTTCTTCTCCTTGTTTACTGTATCTGCCCAACATGGATTTCCATTCTTGCTCCTTTGATATCTTGTATCAACTCTTTTGTCAGTCTTTGCATGACATTTCTTTAGCTACCTTTAGCTATTTTCTTCAGTGTTATTTGAATTGTGAGCATTCTAAAGTTTAAAAAAATTACTTGTAATAGCCAAAAGTAGTGACTTGGAAAGTTGTTTTGAAATGCAGTACCATCATCATCTATATATATATTTATTTATTATTATTTTTTTTTTTCGGTACGCGGGCCTCTCACTGCTGTGGCCTCTCCCGTTGCGGAGCACAGGCTCCGGACGTGCAGGCTCAGTGGCCATGGCTCACGGGCCCAGCCGCTCCGCGGCATGTGGGATCTTCCCAGACCGGGGCACAAACCCGTGTCCCCTGCATCAGCAGGCGGACTCTCAACCACTGGCCACCAGGGGAGCCCTCATCATCTATATTTTTTAAGTTTATTAACACTATGCAGTGAAAAAAAAGTGAATAGTTTTTAAATCAATCAATAATTTCATTTCCCTGCATATTGATTTATGTTCCTTTAAAATTTTATTAGACTTGAAATGAATACCTTAAGAGAGTAAATAACTAGATATTTGTGAATTCAGAGTACATAGTTGTATATTGTTTATATTATTAAAAGGTATATAAGCAGTGGCCTGAATTAAAATTTTGATCATTTCCTGTCAGCTTTACATGATGATACTTAAAATGAAGGAATAAAGAATTTCCCCTGGGGCTTCCCTGGTGGCGCAGTGGTTGAGAGTCGTCCGCCTGCCGATGCAGGGGACACGGGCTCATGCCCTGGTCCGGGAAGATCCCACATGACGTGGAGCGGCTGGGCCTGTGAGCCATGGCCGCTGAGCCTGCGCGTCCGGAGCCTGTGCTCCGCAACAGGAGAGGCCACGACAGCGAGAGGCTCACGTACGGCAAAAAAATAAAAATAAAAAAAAATAATTTCCCCTGGTGACTTTTCATCAGAAGCAAAAGTCTGGACAATGTAAAAGTTAGGTTATGAATTCTCCAAGGTCTGTTGTCTTTTCTGTATATCTGAGGATGGTCGACTCTTTGTTCCAAAGTGAGTGTTGAGACTTAGTAAATTAAAATCCAGGGTATGGCTCCTGCTTTATTCCTTGGCAAAGTCTTCTTGTTTCCCTGGTGTTCATTTCTTAGAATTTTATAGAAGAGGTTCTTACTATTAGATAGATGCATGTATAGAAAACTAATATATACCAGGAGGTGTTTATACTAAAAATTCATTAAAAATTCCTTGTTCCTGGGACTTCCCTGGTGGTCCAGTGGCTAAGACTTGTGCTCCCAATGCAGGGGGCCCAGGTTTGATCCCTGGTGAGAGTACAGTGGCTAAGACTTGCGCTCCCAATGCAGGGGGCCCGGGTTTGATCCCTGGTGAGGGAACTAGATCCCTTGTGCTGCAACTAAGAGTTTGCATGCTGCAACTAAAGATCCCATGTGCTGCAACTAAAAAGGATCCCACATGCTGCAACTAAAAGATCCCACATGCCGCAGCAAAGATCCTATGTGCCGCAGCTAACACCCGGCGCAGCCAAATGAATGAATGAATGAATGAATGAATAAATAAATAAATAAATAAATATATATATATGAAGGGACTTCCCTGGTGGTCCAGTGGTTGCGAATCTGTCTTGCAATGCAGGGGATATGGGTTTGTTCCCTGGTCAGGGAACTAAGATCCCATGTGCCACGGGGCAACTAAGCCCATGTGCCACACTACTGAGCCCATGCGCCACAACTAGAGAGAAGCCTACATAACACAACGAAGAGCCTGTGTGCTACAATGAAAGATCCCACGTGCTGCAACTAAGACCTGATGCAGCCAAAAAATATATATATATATATATTTTTAAATAGATCTTTATTGGAGTATAATTGCTTCACAATACTGTGTTAGTTTCTGTTGTACAACAAAGCAAGTCAGCCGTATGCATACATGTCCCCATACCCCCTCCCTCTTGAGCCTCCTTCCCATCCTCCTTATCCCACCCCTATAGATCATCGCAAAGCACCGAGCTGATCTTCCTGTGCTATGCTGCTGCTTCCCACTAGCCAACTATTTAACGTTCAGTAATGTATATATGTCGATGCTACTCTCACTTCACCCTCCTACTCCATGTCATCAAGTCCATTCTCTATGTCTACCTCTTTATTCCTGCCCTGCAACTAGGTTCATCAGTACCTTTTTAAAAAAATTTTTTTATTTTCCATATATATGCGTTAGCATATGGTATTTGGTTTTCTGTTTCTAACTTACTTCACTCTGTATGACAAACTCTAGGTCCATCCACCTCACTACAAATAACTCGATTTTGTTTCTTTTTATGGCTGAGTAATATTCCATTGTATATATGTACCACATCTTCTTTATCCATTCATCTGTCGATGGACATTTAGGTTGGTTCCATGTCCTGGCTATTGTAAATAGTGCTGCAGTGAACATTGTGGTGCATATCTCTTTTTGAATTATGTTTTTCTCAGGGTATATGCCCAGTAGTGGGATTGCTGGGTCATATGGTAATTCTATTTTTAGTTTTTTAAGAAACTTCCATACCGTTTTCCATAGTTGTTGTATCAATTTACATTCCCACCGACAGTGTAGGAGGGTTCC